CTGTGCCAGGGCAAGCCGAGGTGACAGGGACGAGGACGCCGGTGCCAACCTCCAAACCTCCAGCCTGGCCGGCTCACGGTGGTTTGCAGAGAGCCCCAACAGCGGTAACGCCAGCCAGGCCTGCCTGTGCCGCCCACAGCCCCGGCCCAACGGACACTTACCTCGTACTGGTCTCCGGGACAGAGGCGTGCGAACCCGGCCAGACCTGCGGGGGCAGGAGGACATGAGCTGCGACACCTTCGCGTAGCCCACGCCGCGCGTCGGGACAGCGGTAAGGCGGGGTCTTTGTGAGACCCACGCCACATGGCTAGGGACCCTCTGGGGACAGCCGTGGTCGGGACCCGTGCTCTCCCCGCTGCAAGGACATTTCCTGCCGGGCGATGGGCAGGGCAGCCTGGCCCCGGGGGCCTAGCGCTCGGTGTTCTTGGGGTCAACGTGAGGCCCCAGCGGATTCAAGGGCCAGGGTCTCAGGGCCAGAAAGGTGCGTTCATTCCTTGCCACCCGACACGAGCCCGTGGGAAGAAACTCGTCTCGCTCTCTCCCGCCCCGAGGTTGGCGATTTCTCAGGGCCTCCCCACTCACTTCTGTTCCCTCGCCCTGCCAGGCTGGCCTGATGACGCCACCACCCGCCGTGTCACCGGGCCACTGCGTGCACAAAGCTCGCGATGACAAAAACATACAAGAGCGAACCCTGTCTGACGGCAGCTCCCGCAAGGCCACCAAACTAGTTAAGGACGCGTCAGACCAGGCGCGCAATACAGCCCACACCGCCGGGCTCCTGAGATGGGGCGCCACGGCCCTCGCCATCCGAGACGCCGGCCCTGGGCCTGGCACGGCGGCCACCCAAGTGCTGCCCGCGCCGACGGCCACCGTCTCCGAGACCCAGGGCCCCGGGTGGGGCGGCCTTTCTTCCCACAGGAGTTGACTGAGGCCCGCTGTCCACGTGAGGCTGTGGAGTGACTTGGCAATGAAGAGCCGTGGGTGCCGACACCCTCGTCCAGAACAAGGAGAGACAGGAGGCCCCGAGGGCAGGGGCTCGCTCATGCCGGCTAACACGCCGACCCCCGGCTTCCCCACCTCTAACGCAGGGACGATGCAGCCCACCTGGCCGAGACCGAGACCACGGCCACGGCCGAGACCACGGCAGGGCAGAGGCGAGCGTCGCGGAGCACACGCGTGTGGGCTCAGGCCAGGGCCAGGGGCAGGCTCAGCCGCGGTTTCTCTCTGACCGTCCCCTGCCCGAGGGAGCCACAGAAACTCGACCCCCTCCTCCAGAACCTGAAAGGACAGGCATCCTCCTGCCTTGGGGAAGGAGTGGCCACCTTGGCCGACTCAGCTCACGGCCCTCAGGGCCCCGCCCTGACGGGGCCATGCAGTTAACACAAGCTGAGTATGAAAGAACTGCCCCTCAGGCCTAGAGCAAGGACTCGGCTGAGGAGAACTGTTTGCAAGGTCAACAGTTTTACGAGTTCTGGACCTCACCTCCATTGTGTTACTGTATAGGCCTGCACTCAGTTTCTCTGCCATGGGCCTTATTGCCATACCCCTGTATCCCATAAAGGCACCCCTGTCTCCACCGGCTCCACCCTCGGCCTCTCGTGTCCACACAGCCGTCCCTGCCTGGACCAAAGCATAACGTGTCTGTGGGTCTCTGTCCTCAGTCCGCAGGCTCCTCTGCCACGTGCGGCCGACGAGGTGAGTCTGGGCCGTTTCCCGCCTGCTCTGCTGTTTTCCAGGGACCCGATGTGGGGGGGTCCTTTACCGCTAGCCCACTGTGTGTCCGCCACAGGAAAGGGAGAGACGGCGTGAGGCGGGGCGCACAGAGAGCCTGGATGAGTGTTAAAGAGCTGCAGCAGCATGTGGCCGTGGGTGGAGCGGCTACGTGTGCTTTTGCTGCTCTGGAAAACAAGCGGGGATCACTTCCTGACGCCTGCGGTGGAGTTCGGACTGGCTGAGGTTGGGGTGGGCCTGCCGGGAGTGCTGTCTGTGCGTCTCTCACTTATAGAGGAAATGAACAAACTTTTAAAAAACTTAAAAGAAGGAGTCAGCAGGTGGCATTGTGGTTAGGGGTACTGAACTCCCACATGACCGACTGGCTCAAATCCTGGACCTGGGGGTTTGCTTTCTCACTCCCCTCTCTCCCTCTGTCCCTCTGTGGTCAAATTTAAATAACTAACTAAATAAAGTTAAATATAGTAATTATTTAAGGAAGAAAACGTAAACGTTGCGAGGCTCTTGAGGGAGCGAATCCCCTTTCCACGTGGGGAAGGGAGAACTCCGTGGTTAGGGTCATGGGGTGCTTAGAAGCACCTGCCGGTACCAGCACCTGCCACCAGATGGCAGCACGTCCCAGCGCGCGGGGCCTTCCTCTGCGCCTGAGCGGCGCCCTGGGACCAGCCTTCACCAACCAGCCAAGGAGCCACTTGGGGTTAAAGGAGCCGGCGTTCAGTGTGGTTTTCTGAGCACCTAGTCAGCCTTTTCCACAACGATGCTAAGGAGAGCTTGGCTGACTCTGGTTCAAACCCGGGCTCCGGGGGCTTAAAAAGCACACACGTGGTGCGTGTCCTGAAGCTGATGGGATGAGGAGGGGGAGGGAGGGGCTGCTGCATGACCATGCCTCACTGGGGCACTGCAGTCGTTTCCAGGATCGGCTGGCACCAGAATCATCCTGAAAGTGTGTTCATGTATTTACTTCAAGTGTTTTCTGCTATAGGACGTGTGTGGTCACCAGAGACAGAGAGAGAGGGAAAGTGAGAAATCACCCTTCTCTCGGGAGTTTGGACACGCATATACATGTGGCCTGGCTTGATTTCCAAGTCTCAGGGGCCAGGACTTGAACCATGGAGTTGGCCCTGTAGGATCCAGTGTCTTAACCACGCCACCTGCTGGTCCCATCCTGGATGCTTTTAAAAATGTTTCAGGGTCCTGCCTGGCCATATGGACCCTGGCCGGCGGTGGGTTGGGCCTGAGTGGTCTGGAACCACGGGCTCAGGACGGCGAGAGGAAGAAAGAGCCCAGGAGCGTGGCCAGCACAGTGCAGGCCCGAGGCTCAGCCCTGCGTACAGGCCGGTGTTATGCCGGGTCTCCTGGAAGAGGGCTCGGCCATGTGGGGAGCTGGGTCAGTTTTGTTCCAGGCGAGCTCCCTCAGGGGGCCTGACATGTCCTGCGGCTCCTGACAGGGTACACTGCCCGAGGCCAGCTCACGGGAAGATGCGGCTCTCCTGAGCGTTGTAACACAGTCTCCCCTCCTTACCCCACCTGCAGGAGTAGAAGACGGTGCTTATCACCCCCTCGCAGCCGGGCTCAGGCTGTAGGAACCTCAGGAGGACAAGGGCCCTGGCCTCCTGTCCACGGGAGGGAGGGGATGACATGGTGGACAGCCCAGCCCGGCCCCCATTCTGGGCTGCGGGCCCGCCTCACCCACCAGCCCCCACCTCCTAAACCAGGCCCCGGTGCTTGCTCTGCAGAGGCTGGGGCAGAGGTGAGTAATGCTTCTAGGTTGGAACTCTCTGGAGTACACACCAGAAGGGCCCTTTGAGAAGATGGGCCTCTGTGGGCGTGGCCTCAAGGTAAGAACCGGAAGGCGGTTTCCAGAAACCTAGGCACACAGCAACCATTTAGGTGATGCCACAGACGCCCACAGACCCGTCCAGAATGAGGGACGTTGCCTGTGTGTGCTGGTGGTTCGCGCCAGAGAGACCCTGCAGGAGACCCGGAGAGAGACCTGCAACAGGGAGCTGCAAGGACCTGTCCGGACCCCACTGGACGGACCACGCCGAGTGTTTCTGGGCCGACGGGGGTGCTGACGGAGGGGCTGAGGCCGTGCCTTCAGCCAGAAGCGCCGACAAGGCCGTGTGTGGTGCCGTGGGCAGAGGGGACGCAGGGAGCCGACGGGTGAGCGTGGCCACGTCCCCTAGTTACTAAGGCCGGATGGGCTGGCCGAGGTTCTGGGGTAACAAGTGACCTTTTCTAAGAGCGTGGGCAGGCGTCAGGGCGGGAGGCACCGTCCCTTGTAAGAGGGGAGGGCGAGAGTGGGCCAGTGTCTCTGCCAGCGAGGGGAACAGCGCCCTCAGGTGTCAAGGGCTGGGCGGGGCGGTGCCGGCCCTCACACGAGGAGGGGTACCTTTCATCCTGATGGAGAACTCCCCCAGCAGACTCTCCAGCTCCGCTTCAATGGAGCACATGTTCTGGAAGGGGACGGAGAAGGGCGTGAGAGCTAGCCTTGTTCACACAGCAGCTCAGAGAGCCAGCCTCCCTCCCTCCCTCCCTCCCTCCCTCTCCTCTCCTTCCTTCCTTCCTTCCTTCCTTCCTGTCAGGGAGTGTGTGCACTTACTAGTGAGAGATGAGAGACAGGGGGGAGGGAGAAAGCACGCCCCGCAGTGGGGCACACTCACACCCCAGTCCCTCCTCCATTTCTCCATCCTGTTAGGACTTAGAGCACACAGACACACGTGCCCAGCGTGTTTTTCAATCTACCGGGTCTGGGATTTGAACCACAGGGTCGGCCATGTAGGATCCAGGTCCCTTAACCACTGGGCCACGGGACCGGCCTTGGAGTTCTAGGTTCCGGCTCTTACGTATCCTTTGTCCTCCTGACGACTAGTCCCCTCTCCTGGGTAAGCCAGCAGTCCCGAGACGGCCCAGCAGGGCAGGGCAAGCGCGGAGCGGGAGTTCTCTGTGGCCTGAGAACAGCTTGGCGCTGCCCCTCAGACTCGGCACCTCTGGGAACGCGCCTTCCCAGAACTCTCACCTGTCACCGTGCCTGCCGGGAGCTGCCAGGGCCGTGCGGAACTCCAGGGCCGCTGCCCGTGCGCTCTCATCTCGGCCCTACAGCCGCGCCCACGAGCAGGCCCTGTGTGTGCTGGTGGTTCGCGCCAGAGAGACCCTGCAGGAGACCCGGAGAGAGACCTGCAACAGGGAGCTGCAAGGACCTGTCCGGACCCCACTGGACGGACCACGCCGCGTGTTTCTGGGCCGACGGGGGTGCTGACGGAGGGGCTGAGGCCGTGCCTTCAGCCAGAAGCGCCGACAAGGCCGTGTGTGGTGCCGTGGGCAGAGGGGACGCAGGGAGCCGACGGGTGAGCGTGGCCACGTCCCCTAGTTACTAAGGCCGGATGGGCTGGCCGAGGTTCTGGGGTAACAAGTGACCTTTTCTAAGAGCGTGGGCAGGCGTCAGGGCGGGAGGCACCGTCCCTTGTAAGAGGGGAGGGCGAGAGTGGGCCAGTGTCTCTGCCAGCGAGGGGAACAGCGCCCTCAGGTGTCAAGGGCTGGGCGGGGCGGTGCCGGCCCTCACACGAGGAGGGGTACCTTTCATCCTGATGGAGAACTCCCCCAGCAGACTCTCCAGCTCCGCTTCAATGGAGCACATGTTCTGGAAGGGGACGGAGAAGGGCGTGAGAGCTAGCCTTGTTCACACAGCAGCTCAGAGAGCCAGCCTCCCTCCCTCCCTCCCTCCCTCCCTCCCTCTCCTCTCCTTCTTTCCTTCCTTCCTTCCTTCCTGTCAGGGAGTGTGTGCACTTACCAGTGAGAGACGAGAGACAGAGGGGGAGGGAGAAAGCACGCCCCGCAGTGGGGCACACTCACACCCCAGTCCCTCCTCCATTTCTCCATCCTGTTAGGACTTAGAGCACACAGACACACGTGCCCAGCGTGTTTTTCAATCTACCGGGTCTGGGATTTGAACCACAAGGTCGGCCATGTAGGATCCAGGTCCCTTAACCACTGGGCCACGGGACCGGCCTTGGAGTTCTAGGTTCCGGCTCTTACGTATCCTTTGTCCTCCTGACGACTAGTCCCCTCTCCTGGGTAAGCCAGCAGTCCCGAGACGGCCCAGCAGGGCAGGGCAAGCGCGGAGCGGGAGTTCTCTGTGGCCTGAGAACAGCTTGGCGCTGCCCCTCAGACTCGGCACCTCTGGGAACGCGCCTTCCCAGAACTCTCACCTGTCACCGTGCCTGCCGGGAGCTGCCAGGGCCGTGCGGAACTCCAGGGCCGCTGCCCGTGCGCTCTCATCTCGGCCCTACAGCCGCGCCCACGAGACGGCCCAGCCCCCCTCGGCCTCTCCCCTGGGTGGACCCTGACCGCCCGGCACAGCCAGGCCCCAGCTCCTCCCTTCTCCCAGGCAGCCCTGCTCTCCCGACATGCCTCCCGTCTTCGAGTTTGTGACAGTCACACCGCCATGCCCTGGCACCCGGCCGAGGGTGGTTATTTCGGAAGTGACCTGCCGTGTCCCAGGACAAGCGGCTGCA